TCTCATGTGACCATCGACATCAACCAAAACATTTGATGGTTTGAGGTCTCTGTGCAAAATTCCTAAACCATGCAGGAATTCAAGACCACTTAATATTTCTTTGATCATGCGTGGACCATGTTCTCGTATATGTTCATCTGTTTGAGAATGAACGTGTTCCTGCAATGTTTCTTCACAGAGATCCAAAATTAGATACATAAAGTCGTTGTCTCGGAGAAAATGTCGATAGCTCACTATGTATGGTGATTTAGGTTCCGTTTCAGCACTGCGACTCAAGATCTCTATCTCATTCTGAGCCAAAGGTTCAGCTGCTTGTGACACCATTCTCTTTACAGCCACTTCAGTGCCATCTTCCATGACACCAACATAAACACATGTACCGAAAGAACCTTTTCCAAGGGCAAAAGACATCTGGGCAGCAAAAGATATTGCTGGTGGTCCAACCTGTGGTATAAAAAATAATTTCGAAATTTTTTATGTGCCCACGAAATTAAAAAAATGTTCAAGCGGAGCCTTTGAACGACAGAAAAAGATCGAGCAGCATTAGGTCCGCCCTATAGCTATATAATATTTCTAAAGTCCATATATAGAATAGTCGTCGCATACAAATAGGGCATTTGCTACATGTGAAGCTCTTAGCAGGCCTCGAATTTCCCTGAAATCAATCGACGGCAATGACGTTAAAAATTGCCGTAGAACGTAACAGCTGTCTACGGCAATTTTGACAGTTTCCACGGCATTTTTCAAATTACTGTAATAAAACTTTAATTTTATTGTTACTTTGGATTTTTGACAAGCTAGAAACATGTCTACGTATTTCTTTAGTGTTTTTTTTCCGAAGAAAACTGAGACTAAAATAGTGATTTACGCATGATTTGATCAACATCTGAATTCAAGTATCAAAATAGTAATGCACAGTGAATAGTACAAAAATTGGACTATACGGCAAAAAATTGCCATCGTTGCCGCAATGATCCAAGGCATTTTGTTCTCCCTCTACGGCAATTGCCGCGATAAAATTCGAGCCTTGGCTCTTAGGTTTATAAGTAAAACGGGGATTGCATGGGAATCGCAGGTTCAATTCCTGCCAGGGACCTAAAGTTGCATTTTTTGCTTCTGTTCCTGGTAGGTCTATTAAGGCGCTTTTTCACAATATTTCCAAACGTTTCCTGAGAAAGACAACGTATAGCCTATCATACATACGTATTGAATGCTGATTAAAAAATTTCATTTCTAAGAATTCGAACGGGTGAAAACATATTCATTCTACAGATGTAAGGCTGGTATACTTTAATTTAGGGTATTATAGACTTAATAATATATATAAAGATATTACTCGACTGTGATTGGTTGATTTCAGTGCAGTTAATCCCAAACAGCAGTGCAATTTTCTGTAATCACAGCATAGGCAGCCCAAAAATGCGTGTTGACATTTTTACGCGTGGCTCTCGGGCATACATCGACTCTACTCAGTTTATTATTAAACTGAGTAGACTCGATGCATGCCCGAGCGCCACGCGTGAGGTTAAAAATTTCAACACGCATTTTTGGGCTATCTATGATCACAGTGCAAAAATCTGTAACAAACTTATCTGATTGGTGGAAAAACATTGTGATGATTAAATCAACCTATCAGTTTAAAGCAATTTAGTTTAAAGAAGTAACGGTCACAGATTGCTTCAAAACAAAACAAACATGGCGCCGCGCTACACAAAGTAAAAGTTGCCTTCGCGTGGAAAATATGGCTTTTATCTTTATTTTTAAATGGAAAAGCATTTACCTTAAACAAGACTAACAAAAATTAAATAGTCGAGTGTAAATTATTAATAAGTAATAGCATGGTTTCTCGTGAAATTTGGATAAACATGCACTCGTGAGTTTTTCAAAGACCTCAAATAGCACTCGTCCTTCGGACTCGTGCTATGTTGAGGTCTTTGAAAAACTCACTCGTGCATGTTATATCCAAATTGCACTCGAAACCATGCTATTACCAGGGCTGCAAATAAATATTTGACTTGACAGGACATTTGTCCGATCACTTTTAATTTTGGTTGGACATAACTTGAATTTGGTCGGACAAAAACCAACCTCACTAAATTTGGTCGGACATATATACGTCAAAAGATGTATATAAGTCACGAGACAAGTATGTATAGCCATTTCGGCGCAACGTTAAGTAAAATGCTAGTAAGAATGCCTTATTGCAAAATGCAAATTTGCAATCGGATTTTGTCACAGCAAAAAAATGTATAATGTGACAATTTTTTTTTGTGATCGGACCAATGTCCGATCAAAATTACTTTTGCTCGGACATTTGCCAAATTTAGTCGGACATTGTCCGACAGTAATTTGCAGCCCTGTATTACCTATACTTATAATAAGTTGCGGTAGTAATCATGTGATTATAAAATGCTCCACCGTCCGTCTTTTATCTACACCCAACTTGTCTCGCTTGCTGCATTTTCGTTTGCGTTTCACGCCAAAACTGTGGAGAAAATGTGACTATCAATAAACATACAGGACGTAGAATTTGTGCTATTTCCTGTGTTACATGGAACTTTTAGAAGTCTATCTATATAAATTTGAAATAACCAAGAGCTTTGACTGGCTTGTTTCTATCAGGTTCCCTCTGATCAACAAAGCGAGTACAACAATACAGGGTGTCTCAAAAAAACCCAAAATCATTGAAATTGACGTATTGTTCGATATTCAATGCCCTAGCACTAAGTTAATCCCACGAGTGCATAAAAGATTGACATAACTGCTATAATGAATGGTAATACTCAGCGTAAACTTGTTATGTCAGGCATAAAGTACTAAACCCACGAATTTACGAAGCATTTTAAAATTCCCATGAGCAAACAAACGTTCACTTTACAAAGATATTTTAATTTTTTAAAACAAATTAATCACCCTGTCAAAATCCTTTGTGTTACGGCATTGAAATTCGAACAATACGTTATTTCAATGATTTTGGTTTTTTTTGAGACACCCTGTATAGGACAGCGTTACCGACCCGTTTTTGGGTATGTAAAATTTGACGCGCTGCAAGTTGGAAAAGTCCTTCCTCTCACTTCCCGAAATTCAATTTTTGGCAAATTACTTTGTTTTTGTTGCTTATAATACAGGGTGTCCCCCAAATTATAGTATTGTTGTTAAAGCAAAGGATTTCATGCACCTGGTAATTAAAAATTCAATTCAATTGTGTTTACGCACTCTTGTGTTCATCATAGTGTTCAGGCATTCAACTTATAACAATAGGATAATTTCTTTTGTGTCACGTTTTGGGACACCCTGTACAGGGTGTATAAAAAAAAACGCAACCTCGGAATTTCCTGAGAGATCACTTTGCAATTCTTAAGCATAAAAGATTTTAGGCCCCTGGGAATTGAAATCGAATTGCTAATAGATCATATTACTGTTGTTGTGCATTAAATAAATGCATAAATTTTACTTTATGCACTCGCGTGTGCAGTAATTTGGACAGTTGTGCTATTTTAAATTCCCAGGCGCCTAAAATCTTTTGTCTTTAAAACAATGTCGATTTCTTGGGAAATTCCGAGGTTGCATTTTTTTTATACACCCTGTATAAACAAAGACGAAGAACTTTGCCAAAGTCCAAGGTTAATATGTTGCAAGGATAATCACCGGAACGCGAAGCGTTGATGTGATGAAAATCCTTGCACTTTTCACCGACAATGAGGTGAATAATTGTTTTAACATTTACCACAACAAAACAAATATGACCAAAAAGCAACGCAACTTTTTTGAAACAATTTGTATTTAAGCTCATGTATTATACAGGGTGTATAAAAAAAACGCAACCTCGGAATTTCCTAAGAAACACTTTGCAATTCTTAAGCATAAAAGATTTTAGGCCCCTGGGAATTGAAATCGAATTGCTAGTAGATCATATTACTGTTGTTGTGCATTAAATAAATGCATAAATTTTGCTTTATGCACTCGCGTGTGCAGTAGTTTTGACAGTTATGCTATTTTAAATTCCCAGGCGCCTAAAATCTTTTGTCTTTAAAACAATGTCGATTTCTTGGGAAATTCCGAGGTTGCGCTTTTTTGATACACCCTGTACAGTATAAAGAATGCATGGTTATATCTGTTGCTCGCAAGCATGCAGCGTCCGCTATACATGCATGTTATAAGCGTTAATAAAACATATTATCATGTACTCGGGAGGTGGATCGCCTTTTGTGCAATTTGATTGGTTGCTCAGCTCTGGATATTCTTGCACTATTCACCTCCGGACAAAAACAAAATGGCTTCCCGTTTCGTTCCGGGTACAGACGTCCAAATTTTTCTACTAAACGAAGCTGCGTTTTCGCAAAGCCACAAAGTTTTGTTTAACAGTAGAGGTATATTTTTTAAAGCTATATCTAATGAATAAAATTACTGAAAGCGTGTAAACTGTAAACACTGTGTTTTTTTACAACTATTACGGATGCTTTTAGCCAAGGAATGGCTCAAATAGTCACTGTATAGGCCTACCTTGATCATTTAAATCCAATAGATATGTAAAATTACGTAAAATGTAATAATAATTGCATGAATTATATTACCTTTCTCATCTTTTCACCATCCATTGCTTTCAAAGCCTGAATTTTCTCCTCATGTTTAATGGACTTCTTTAATTCCAGTTTGAGAATATTGAGGATCTCATCATTGCCACATATATACTTCTCCTGTCTTCGTATATCAACATTATACTTCAGTAATGTTTGGACCACCGCTGTATGTCCGTGAATGCATGTTACGCTTAATGGGGAAGGTTGCCCATCATCGTAACTATCTATGTCTTTGATCGCTCCGTGTTGAAGAAGATAGTCAACAATCAGGTGATTTCCCTTGTAACATGCCAAATATAGAACTGTCCAATTGCCTTGCTTGTGTTCAGATGTTACCATAGCTCCACGTTCAATTAAATATTTTACCATTTCTAACGAACCACAATTAACGCCATAATGTAGCGGAGTTGTATTCGACACGTTTAAACAATTAACTTCAGCACCACGTTCAACCACATATTTAACTATTTCTAATGAACCAGAACATGCAGCATAATGAAGAACTGTGTTGTCATTGTCGTCTTTTTCTTTAACATCACCACCAGATTCAACAAAACGTTTTACTTCCTGAAAATTTCCTGCTTTAGAAGCTCTCAAAACCACCAACAAATTTGCATTACTATAATAACAAAGGCAATTATTTGAGGTTATCGATATTACAAAACAAATCCTTCATGCTCTGATATCATTCTTATTTTATCGAACTTGAGTCATCAGTTAAAATGATGCCGCACATTGTGATAAACTATGAAGTTTATCACGACGTGCAAAACGCTTTTTAAATTTTGGGATAACAAAAAGATTATATGGCATTCCAGTATATATATATATATATATATATAGGATGACAAAAATTTACTGCAATGTCTAACAAAATTTCCTGTGAAGACATTTCGTTAAAAATTTCCTGCCGGGAATTTTCCAGCTGCGCTGATTGGCTGATTGATCCACTCCTACCTTACCCATGCAATAATTGCTTTGATGCACCGTGCATGGGAAAGGTTGGGCGATATACTATAGGTTGACTGATGTACATTATTGTCACTATTCAAAGTATGCGAACAACTGAATAAACGCCTGTTCGCAGGCTATATTCAAATCGGCTCTCTATGGTTACCTGGTGACAGCAGATATCGATGACCTCGCTTTTGATTGACCCTGTGGCTGAGCTGCACTGGTTGATGTTGACTGTCCCTTCAGTCGTGCGTACGGTCGTGGGTCCTTTGATACGCTAAAATCGCGCTTTTCTGGAAAGAAAGATAATTAACCAAAGTTAATTAAAATTAAAAACTATTTCATGTCAGTTTTCAAACCAGATATCTTTTTCTCCTACTATAGGATTTTTACATATATACTTATATAAATGGGGCTAAGTGTTCGCGACCCCTTCGTCTGCAAACAAAGTTTCGGTGTCCCAGGAATGTCGCCCCCCCCCCTCCTACAATCCCCCCCCCAGGGGGGCGAAATTCCTAGTAATATCGCCACCTTTCTTTAGGATTTTCGTCCTCCGTTCAAAATTTCTCACTTCCTAATAGTTGCATAGGATAATTATTACATGGCTTGCCTGTAGTAATTTGAAATCAGTATCAATTCAAAATTGTTAAGAATACAAATTTACAATTACATGTATCGAAAGGGCATACAGTAGATCAATAGGACTTATCGTACGCTTCACAGCACACCATGCATATTTTGCATTTTCGGTGTTAATCCTTAAACTCATTGTTAAAAAGTAATCACCGTGGTGGTTATTGCAATTGTTGGTATTGTGAAGACTTGTTTTTTTAACTGATACATGCATAAACTACAGTATATGTTTTTTTTTATAATCAAACTGTTTAATTTCATTATAAAGAGCACTAAAAATCTACTTGTCTCTACCGATGCAGTATTCACAAAATTATTCATTGATTGGAAATAATTGAATTGGTTAGGTAATTCTTATATATAGATCGTGTTTATGGTATTTAGGTCTATACCACAACATCAGCTAAGGCTAAGCTATAAATTTACTATCGTGTTTATAGAAGAAATACGTTTAGTTTCATTGTTATTGTTAACAGTAGTCAATATAGCATGTTTGCCAAATTTGAACCTCAGCGTATTGTTATGTTGTAAACACTGAAGCACATTATTATTGTATTGACAAGTTAAACATGATGGAATTGATCGAATTTCAAAATATAAATTAAATAGATGAAATAAATTAAATAGAAATATATTAAAGTATTGTTAAAATTCTTTAGCATCCACGTTTTGTCGTTATTTGAAAATGTATGGCTTATAAGTTGTCATTACTCATTAGTGAATGCGCGTATATATGAAACTTACTGTTTTTTCTTGCATTATTTCAATAGTAGTTTTTAAATCTCAGAATGGTAAAACTTGCCCAGCCTAGTACCAGGTTCTCTCTTTCTATTCGCTGCTTTGACATATTTAAATAAGTCTTAAAAGTTTAATGCCTGGGTGTGCTGTGCGGAACGCTTCAGCGAGAGAGCCTAGCAGAGTTCGGTAAAATGGTCCCTGATTTTAAAAGTGGTCCCTGACCTGGTTACCAAGCATGCCGCATTCGTAAATAGAAAATGTTATGGAAATTTCCTTTGCGTTTATAATTAAGTAATTAGTTTTGCTCTAATCTATCGGAACAATAAAATAGGCTACGTTTCTAAGGCTACTAAATCTGACTCGTGTTTACTAAAATATAAAGCCATATTAAATGCTATCTAGAAGCTTGAAAATTATGCCGAGTCTCCGACTAAAAATGTTTTGACAACACAGTCATGTCAGGCAAATATTTCCAATCTCCTCAGCTACTCAAACTTGTCAAGTAGAAAGCGTAGTTATGTATACCAGTATGGTCTAGTGTTGATCACAACTTGCGAGTATATAAATAACATCAACGTTTATATATTGTATATAATTTTTTTTAATTGAGCACATTTTTAGTACAGTTTGAATTTGGTTATGTAGACATCGAACATGATCAATGAAGACTATTTACAAGGTTATTTGTATATATAAATTTTTCGCCATATTAAAAATACTGAAATCTGCTAGGCGTTCTGAAGAACCTTTAGCGGTGACGTCACACCTAGGTCCCAGTCTTGTACTACATCCACGTTTTTTCTCGCGCTTGCTTCAGAACGACTGGGACTAGGCTGAAACTTGCCAATACTCCAATAATACATTTCAAAAAAGACAAAAAAGTTTTAGTTTTGCAGAGTTAAATTCTCAAACGTGTCAGGCACTAATAAGATCAAAGTATCACGAAATTATTTTAATAAACCACATCGCACATATGTGTAATATCCAAGCTTTATTAACTATAAGTTGTTTTTCAAATACAATAATATCAAGCTCGCCATGCTCTGTTCGCCATGCGGTCTCGCTTATGTCCTCGCAAAGCATTGTTGTCTATATACGGTATGTGACGTTGACGTCATCATCACAATATGGGGGGCGAATATCCTAAAGGGGGGCGATATTCCGAGGGTATTCACCCCCGGGGGCGATATTCCTAGGAATATCGCCCCCCTTTTGAGAGGGGGGACGAATCTCCTGGGGGGAGGGGGCGAAAGTCCTGTGACACCAGGCCATTTTCCAATCGAGCGCGCTAACAATAAGAAGCCACTTAAATACCTCCGCCAGGAGGTTATGTAATCATCTGGGTTTGTATGTGTGTGTGTGTATATGTGTGTGTGTATGTGTGTGTGTTTGTCTGTGAGCACGATAACTCAAGAAATACCAAACATATTCATACGAAATTTTTTGAATGCATTTCCCATCGGCTAAGGAAGAACTGGTTAAAATTTGGTTGAATTTGGTTAAAAATTGAACGAGAAATGAACAAAATTTTGTCTTGCTTTTCCCGGTCAATTAAAAAAAACTCACTGAATGCGTAATTAGGACGTGTATAATGTATGCACGCAGTACTATAGACAATAATGAGATGATAAACTTCATTAAGCTTCAGCCTTCATTATCTATTGTCTTAGTTGCATTTCACACGACCGAAATTCAATGGGGGCGGAGGTATGCAGTCTCTGAGTGCCCTCTAGTTATATAATAAGAAGCCACTTGCTCTCGTAAATACAAGCTTTGGATATGTTGCAGAGTATATGATATTTCAAACCCTGATTTTGCATGAGAGTACTAACATAGTGCGCAATTATACCGCTTGTTCTACAACTGCTGCTACTGTAGCTATAACATAAAATGAAATCACGCCCGCGGCAAGAAAAAAGATACAAGTAATGTTGGACATAAAAAGGGAACAAACATGACACAAAGACCTAGATATTTTAGACGAGTAAATATTTTAGATACATCAACAAAATTTGGCCAAAATGTGTCAACACTAGTTTTGGTGCAGATACATGCACGCTTAGCGTGCACATTTTTGTCAGAATTGACATAACCGAAGCTTGTATTTCCGAGAGAAAGTCTTTGCATTGCTAGCACGCTCGGTTGGCAAATGGTCCGGAAATTTTTCCACATTTACAGTATTCTGTCGCGAAAATTGTTAATGAGAGTTGGCGGGCACACGCGAGCGAAATATGCAACTCCCATTAACTTTATCCTTGTTTCACCAGGGAGTTATACTACCAGTTTAAACTGTTCCCCTAAACATAAAGGTCCACTAAGTCCGCGGGAGGAGAAAAGGACGGGCGTGACTTTTTATCCGCCCGGCGCCGTTCTCCCACCCTAATTTTCCCGCCCACAAGTCCTCCCCCAAAAAATCGTCTGCTATGCAGGCGAATTAGTTCAGTATTATGAATTCTAACCTGCGATGTTAATTGGTAGAGACATGCAGAAAACACTTTTTTCAAATGGCAACGAGGCGCAATCACCACCGCAAATTTTTAGCTCCGCTGCTAATAATATTGTGATGCCATTAAGTGACAAATAGTTACAATCAGATAATATAATATATTGAAGGAATCAAGCGGGTGTTAATTTAAAGACACACGCACAAACTTCTGGATAACGCTCTCTTCTTCCTTCCGCAACTCTGCCTACTTACTTTTCAAATTTGGTGCATGTAATTCTGGAAATAGTTTCTGTAGAACAGGATTTTGATCCAGGATACGTAGCTGTTGTTGCAGTGTAAGTCGTGAGAAAGCTTGGTAATCGAGAATCATCTGTTGTGGAGATGTTGGTGCGGATTTTGTATGAACTTTGTTCACCGCAGGTACCTAGAGTTAAAATAACATTTATAGCTACGCTTTAATACTGCTTAGTATAAGTGAACAATGGGGGTGCTCCCTTCTTCATCCACCCTGATTTCTGCAACTAAATGTCATTGCCAAAAACACCAGGTAAACAAATTATATCCCCCTTCCCCTATCCCATACTATATTGTCTTGCAATCAACAACAACCATATGTCATAATGGGATCTTATTTACAGCACACAATGTACAAAACTAAATCTACTATTGTTTATTGGATTTTCTTCCACGACAAAATATTGTTGCATGAATCTGGTATGCTGAATTATATCATTCTATTCACGAACTATATGCATCGATTATACTTCTAATTTCCATACCTGTCACCATTTGTTACTGATGAATGACCTTCAATATATGACCTATTTGATATATTTACTTGGCATAAACAGTGATTTGTGCTCCATCAAGTTATCATATATTTGTGATGTTTATAGAAAAATATATTCATTTAAACATCAGTCTCTTAATATTTTTACAAGCTACCGGGTATTGATTGAAGCCCTTGGCAACAGTGCAATCACCATGAGAAGATACATGTACGCTCAGCGTACCTATTTTTTAAATTAAAAATTTGGCTCAATGTATGCCTGAGAATCATCAGGGAATCATTAAAGAACATGAATAATAAAAACTATCTTGTAAACTAAAAGTTGTGTTGAATATCAAAAGTTGTGCACAAGAAAGTTACTATCGTTGATTATTGGCGAGGATGAGGCACTATATTTAATTGACCGTAGTTCGCGTTGCCGTTATTAGCGCCTCAAAAATCCTTCTATCAAGCAAACGATGGTAACACAGCAAACAAATATGCATGTGCATGGGATTGCCTTGGAAACTATTATCATTAAATAATGTTCAGCACTGCACTATGGCTATTCGCTTTATTTTACCTACCTGTCGATTGAGTTTCGTTAATCGTAAGATAGTGGGTCGGCTAGCTGTCACAACTTGAACCTGCCATAGAGCTGGAGGATTGGCTGTAGACGCCGCCGTTGCTGTCTTCTGTTGCTGCACCATACGTAGAGACGGTAAATTTGACTGAAGTAAGATAGGAACGCGAGTGTGTCAATCATTGTAAATTTTGTTTCAAACATATCTACATGGTTCTTTGTCACCATATTAAATAGATATTGTTTTAAATTAAAAGTTTGGTTCAAAGTACGTATGCCTAAGAATCATCAGGGAATCATTAACTTAACGAACATGAATAATAAACTAGGGATCCAAGGATAGTGTAAAGTTTCATTGAAAAAGACACGGCAAGAACTGTATAGGGTCGCCGACAACCTAGAACAGTAAGGACAGGCATAGGCTAAAGCAGGCACGTCACTCAAAAATGTGGATTAGAACAACGTTTTTACGGATAAACAAGTCCTTATCACTCCCTTCGTAACTCGTTTATTAAATGTGGAATTGTAAAAACTCTTATTTGGGCATGACGACTTTCTGTTTTGTAAAGCTGATGGCTTACACTACGAAATAAACAGCATATATGCATTTCATCTCATTATCTATTGTTTTTAAGGCGTTCGGCACACGAGCAGCCGTGACGTTTGAAACAAGCGTAACACATTAGAAACGTCGTGCCTCGTGGAACTGATACAATTTATTTATTTATTGTGATGCTACACGCGACAACTCGAAATTTAAATTGTTTCACCAACAACCAAATTTTGTATATTCTAAAACTATATTTGCATTGGGAGCTGTCGCTAAAAGTATCCCCACGAGACTACTGATATACTAAACTTATTTAAAACTATGATTATTCCCATCATCCTTTTAGCGCCCATATTGCACATTTGACTATTGTCTCAGTGACTCTCTTTAATTGAAATAGCCGTATAACTAGTTAATACGACGTTAATCCATTACAAAAAAATAAATCAAAAACACAGAAACGTAAAAATGAGGCGAAAACTAAAATATAAAAAAATAACGCATTTTATCCCCATATCCGTTCCCCATTTTATTTCCATATCCGTTCCGCATCTGCTCCGTGGATCCGCTCCGTCCCGCATCCGCTTCCGCATTTTAACCTAATTGTGACATGTTTACACAATGTATCAGTCAATTCTAGCATTGCCCCCCCCCCGGGCAACCCCCAGGCATTTGTAACCTTTTCTTTGCCCGGTGGCCGGGCATTGGTACTTGCAAAGTTGTCCCGGGGGCGGGGAATTGTTTAGGGGGGGAGGGGGAATTGTTTACCAGCCGGGCATTTGTCTCGACCGGACGTTTCTGCAACAAACACGTGTTATTAAGGAGTTTAAGCTTCACGTTTCCGGGAGGCAGCAAACGGCAAGTTCGAACTTTCTTGGCAAAATTTTCGTTGAACATTTTCGTTTCATATTTTCTTTCTTGTGTCGAAAGAATGAGCATGAATTGTAGTTTTAAAACAACAAGTCCATTTACTCTTTATTGCCTGATACCGTAAAATTTTTCTTTGCTTGGTGTTTGCCGTTTGACGTATAAACGCGATCGAAGCTCGTGAACACTAATGATGAATAATATCCTTGAATTCGAGAATAAAAACGAGGATTATTTATTTTGCTACGTTATTGTATAACCGTAATTTTCGTTTCATATTTTCTTTCTTGTGTCGAAAGAATGAGCATGAATTGTAGTTTTAAAACAACAAGTCCATTTACTCTTTATTGCCTGATACCGTAAAATTTTTCTTTGCTTGGTGTTTGCCGTTTGACGTATAAACGCGATCGAAGCTCGTGAACACTAATGATGAATAATATCCTTGAATTCGAGAATAAAAACGAGGATTATTTATTTTGCTACGTTATTGTATAACCACCGAACAGATGAGCACGTTTTTGTTGTTCAAAAGCTGGGATGACTACTGCAGCTTTTATACAAGGAAACTTATTGTCAAGTAAATCTTAAGAGGTCTAAAAGACATTCTATAAATGAGTCAGTGTGCCGGGCATTTGTCGTTATTTCTTTGGCCCAGGGGCGGGGCATTGCCACGCTTTTCCTGCTCTGCCCCGGGAAATTGTCAACTTAAAGAAAAAAAAAGTGCAAATGCCCGGGGGTAGCCCGGGGGGGATCGGCAATCGTAGAATTGACTGATGCACAATAACAAGAACATTGACCTTTGACTTTATATTCCCAAGATGACAAGATCAAGTTGTGTTTCATGAGTCATTTTCAGCTTTTCGCATGTATTCAATGTCACTTTAGATTTCAATAGTTTCACAGTTATAGCAGTGTTTATAGCAGTTTGACAAGCTTCAACACATATATATTCTCGTAAGATCTGGTAGAGATTCTCAATCAATGTTCTCATTGATATTGCATTGTCATTGAACACGAGTTTACAACGTTGTGCTAGACATGTTATGTGAACAAGACCCGTGGCTGCACACGTTGGATACCTCTACTCTGTGGTATAGCACCTTATACAGTCGATGTATAATGAATATACGGTCTAAACAATATATATCCGCACTTAAAATATTAATTGAATGCCGGTAAAATACAAAACATCAATTTATATATTGCGTAGAATCTCAAAGATTTTCTCAATAATCAATATTCATATCTGAAATGTTTATATATTTGAAAACAACACTGTATCGCTCCTTCCTAGCTCTGTATAATGAATATACTGTCAAAATAATATCGGCACTTAATTCAATATTTCAATGCCTAGAATCTCAATATTCACGTCTGAAATGTTTATCCTGACGATGACTGAAATATAGTCGAAACGTAGATAAATAAAAATGTTTATACATTTGAAAAAAAGCACTGTCTAGCTCCTTCCTAGCTCTATATAATGAATATACCATCTAAATAATATCGGTATTTGATTGAATGCCCGTACGTAATGCATAACATAGATTTATACAGTATATTGCGTAGATTCTCAAAGATTTACTTAATATTCTCGTCGCGTCTGAAATGTTTATATATTTGAAAACAACACTTATCGCTCCTTCGTAACATCGTCACGCTATCGTTGCTCTGCGGCTTGATAGCGCATGCGCATTCGCGCTGCTAAAGAAAAAATCGGGTGTTCCGGGGTAAAAATCCTTTTACAACACGAGAAGCCGACGAGAAGCGAATGTTATAAAATTTGCAATAACACAACGATTCCTCGAAATTTTTGTGAACTTGGCAAAAGGCCTAAAGAATATTTAAATAAGACAACTGAAATTGGCTAAATAACCTTCAACGCACTGACTAAGTACAATAAATCACTACGAACATAAATCGTATACACCTCCCGGAAAGTTTACTCTATGACTGAATGACTGAATGACTGACTGATTCGTGTGAATTTTCGCCACTCATCACAATAGTGTAAAGTGAAACTTTACACTAAAAACTATCTTGTAAACTAAAAGTCGTGCTGAATATCAAAAGTTGTGTACAAGAAAGTTGTGTTCCAAACAAAAAGTGCATGTATTGAAAATATATCGTTGATTATTGCCGGGGGTGGGGCACTATTTATTGAAGTACGTAGTTCTAACTAGGGTGCATACTGTACAGCAGACTTTGTTTAAATAAAATTTAGTTATACGCTGCATATTCATCAGTTGATTCATTGCGAGCATATCACATGTATTTTGGGTGTTTTGTTTAAACCTGAATAAACAGCCACTTCAAATTAAACGCCTAACACATTGACATCAGGCTCAACAACATAAGCTAAAAAATATTTTTTGCCTACAGCCCTCTTAAACGGGCCTTAATCCTGTGAAATATCTCAGAATTTGGTAGACTGACATTGTGCCAATATGCCCTTTCACGTTTTGTAGTTTTGTCGCGTTTCCATTATTAATTACCGCCTTGAAAGTCCTTCTATTAAGCAAACGACGGTAATACAACAAACAAATATGCATGTGGGACTGCCCTGGAAAATATTATCATTCACTAATGTTCAGCACTGCACTAGTTCACCCTATGGCTATGTGCTCATTTTATTTTACCTACCTGTCGATTGAGTTTTGTTAATCGTAAGATGGTGGGTGCCACAGACTGAACAGGATTCTGAACCTGCCATACAGCTGGAGGATTGGCTGAAGTCGCTGCCGTTGCTGCCTTCTGTTGCTGCGCCATACGCAGGAGCGGTAAATTTGACTGAAGTAAGATAGAAACGTGAGTGTGTCAACCATTGTAAATTTTGTTATCAACTAAAGAGAGTGGACAGGAAAAGGGAGCCCCATATAAAATGACATACCTGCATGGTTCTTTATTATCATATTTAGTCCGTGTGTTGTGACCTCGAAAAGTGCCTTGAAAACGTTTTCGTTAAGCATGTCTTAGATCTGAAATATTTTTACGGGAACTAACACTTTCAAACACGCTGAGTTCAAATCCGAAAAGTTCCCACTCCGTAGAACCGGAGTTTTCTCACAAACTGCTATTTTACCTTCACTAATTACACAGCAAATTTTTTTCATGGTTCAACGACACGGATCGATGACGATACACGATTATGTCACTCAAAAGGACCAATTTCTATTAATCATAGTTCCTTTTGACAAAAGACCGGTTTCGCTCGAATCATTTTGAGTTATGCAATCTTATGCGTGTTGGACGTAAACAACATATCTTGTCTACAACTTTGAGAAGGTACAGATACTACCATTTGCAAGCAACCGCAAAATACAAACTTTTTTTCACGTTTGTTTACGTTTCAAACGTACACGATGGGCGGGTCAAACGTGCCTGTTGGCACGTAATAATCAATTAGTTTGAACTGCGAAATAGTGACGTTTTACAAATCTCGCCCATACGTTTGAACAACGCGAAAGCACGTTCAAGACTAGATATCCTGCGTTTCACAACTCATACTTTCCTGATATTACAATATAAAATGTCTGTACAAACTACAGTCGTGCCAATAGAAGCGTTCCGAACAATTTTGATCAGTTCATTTCCATGCGTCGATCACAGAACAGTTCCTGAATAATTTGAAAAGTTCCTTAGAAATTTCCTAGCTTCCTGTGCAGATAAACCAATCATGTTAGATGTTATATAACAACTGACCAATCACGTTAAAGCATTGCCCAAAACGAATTTTCAATTTTCCGTTCGACTATCTTTTGACTGTTTGTCAACCGTTTGCCTATAAATTAAAATATTGAATTTTCATATTTTTTTGTGTATTCAAAATTTTCGACAAAAGTCGAAAGCTCCTCATTAGAATTGCAAAGTACAACATGCAGTTGATGAAACATACAAATTTTCGTCACCGTATTAACGAAGGGATAAACAGTTTCAATTATAAATGTAATAACTATATTTACTTATAGTTATTACATTTATAATTGAAACTGTTTATACCTTCGTTAATACGGTGACGAAAATTTGTATGTTTCATCAACTGCATGTTGTACTTGATCTTGTCTAAAAGTACACCCGAGTGACCATGAATAATGACCACGAATGACCACGAGTGACCACGAATGACCACGAGTAATTTCTGTGTTGTAGATAATTTTATACATTATTGACATTACAGAGTTATTAAGACTTATATAAAGTATTGCGAACAGAAGAGCCCGCGGGCGCTAGGATCGGGGGCTCAGAGGATGGGAGAAAAAAAACAAAACAGTGAGAGATTTTGTAAATCAAATGTGAGAGTTTCAATGAATTTTCCCCAAGCAGGATTTTAGCCGAAAATCACAACGAGAGAGCGAGAAATAACAGCGTGAGTAATCAATAAAAACATCGAAAATTCGTGAGATATCGCCGCCATCTTGAAAATGTCAACTACCAACAAAGTAGAAGAGCTACTAAAACAAATCGATGGGAAACTTCGTATGCTAAAATTTACACAAGAAGATACACCAAGAGTACTGGAAGATCATAAGGTAAAAGCAATGGAACGTCATACAAGGGTTTTCGAAGAATTAATCGAACAGACTCATAAGCTTAAAATCGAAGTTCAACAAATCAGAATTGAGAAGGGAGATACAGCAGAGGAAGTGAGAGAATGAGTCTTGATATCGAGAGCAAAGTTTCAGGTTTCGAAGAGGTAGTCGACGAGATAAAAGAGACTATTATGAGAGAACATACTAAAGTCAAAACCCAGGAAGAGGAAATCGAAAAGGAGAAACGAAGGTTACATTTCGAAGAAGAGCTTAAATTTGAAGAAACCAAATTAGAAATGAAGCAAGAGTATGAGAAAAAGATGGAAGAAGCACGCATGAAATCTGCTACAAAAGGTAACAAATGCTAAACTTCCTAAACTAGTAATTACTAAATTCCAAGGCACACACCTAGACTGGCAAAGATTCTGGGGCCAGTTTGAGACTGAGATAGACAAGGCCGAGATAAGCCAAATTGCAAAACTATCATATCTGAAAGAACTCCTTGTTCCAAAAGCACGTACATACATTGATGGGCTTCCCTTCACCATAGAGGGGTACGAACGAGCTAAGACCATCCTCAAAACAAAGTATGGGAAAACAAGTGAGGTAGCTAATGCCCACATGCAAAGTATTGTATCATTGCCTGTCGTTAAAGGGACACAACCCAAGAAGATACATGAGTTTTTTGAGTCGTTAGTCACCAACACCCAAGCCCTTGAAACTATGGGTAAACTCAGTCAAGTACATGGGTTTGTCAGACCAACCCTTGACAAACTCCCTGGGATTCGAGCCGACTTAGTCAGATTGGATGATGAGTGGCAGGATTGGGGTTTCACTCAACTGGTAGAGGCCCTGAGAAAATGGTGTGAAAGAAATCCAATCGTAATCGAAGAGAAGCCTGATCATGGAGGAAGTGACACTGGGGGCTCAAAAGTTAAAGCTGGTAGATTCTTCCAAGTCAACCAACAACAATGGAAGCCAAAGCCCTGTGTATACTGCAATTCAGACCAACATAAATCTGTAGTTTGTGATAAGATAGTAGATGTGGCTTCTAGGAAGAAAGAACTAGCAGCGAAAAAACGTTGCTTCAATTGTACAGGTCTGAAGCACCGGGCTTCAGAATGTCGAAGTTTAGCTACCTGTCTGAAGTGCAAGGCTAAACACCACACATCAATATGTGATCAAGTACAACAACAACAAATGATGCTCGCAACTGCCAATGGCAGAGTCATCTATCCGGTGGTAGTTGTAATAGTCGATGGTGTGAAATGTAGAGCGTTGCTGGATACGGGGGCTGGGAGCTCTTACATCTCAGCTAGTTTGGTTAAGCTCCTTCGCAAGAAACCCAACAAAACCGAGTACAAGAGAATTGATATGATGTTATGTTCTACCAGTCAGAAGATAGAGAGTTACAATGTGAAGGTCTCCAATGTTAAAGGAACTTTCAAAATGAATATTCAAGCAAGCAAAGTTGACAAGGGGTACTGTTGTCTATACCAAACCCACATTACAGTAAAATCATCAGTCAGTATGAGCATTTGAAAGAAGTGTCAATGGACGATAATGACACTAAACCAGAATTACCTATTTCTATGATATTGGGAGCTAGTGATTACTCGAGAATAAAGACCAACACACAACCCAAGCTCGGACAGCCCGGAGAGCCTGTTGGAGAACTCACGACACTCGGTTGGACTATTATGGCAGCTGGTGAAGAAGCAGATCTCAGCAGTGTGTACTTCACCAAATCTTCAGCAGCAAATTACGAACAGCTATGCAGCCTGGATGTACTTGGCCTCCAAGATCAACCCAACGAAAGCCAACAATCGGTGTACCAAGACTTCAAGCAACAACTACGACGCAGCGAGGATGGCTGGTACGAAACCGGGTTACTATGGAAACCTAGACATGACGAGCCTTTACCAACCAACGAATCCAACAGTTTGGGACGGTTGAATAATTTACTAAAGAAATTGCAACGCGATCCAGAAATGCTTGACCAGTACCACAAAATTATCCAAGATCAGTTGAAGGAAGGTATTGTTGAGAAAGTAAC